CTGGCAGTGGCAGGCGGAGGGGCCCGTTGTTTCCCGCAGGTCTGGGCGTGCTGGAGGCGTTACACGGGTACACGGGACCTCGTCTCTGCTCTAGGCCTGTTCCAGCCTAGGTGATGGCAAGGCCGGTGAGGTTTTGGGGTTTTTGATGCTGGGAACATTAGCAGCCGGTAGTACTGAAAGGGGCAGTTTGGAGCTGTGGTGTGTACTTCCATCATTTGCAATTCCAGCACGTCACTCGCTGGAACACAGTCACCAGGCAAAACCACAGGTGAATAGAGGACAGTGTCAAAGCACATGTGTTTTGTCAGGTCTGAAGATTTTGTGTGTTTGAGATGGGGGAGGGCAAATAACACAATGAGATTAGCAAAATTCTAAAGTGCAAGTGTGCTTCAGCACAGTGCTACTTGATTTTAATTTTTTATTCCCCCCCATCTTTGTGCCCCAGGATGTGGTCATCAGTAAAATTGTTGTTTGCTGAAATGTGTTTCATCAGATGCCGCTTTCCAGGATTGTAGTGAAAATACCATAGCTGTGTGTCAAAGTGTAATTAAACCTTAATCCACTTCAGATATCTTAAAATATATTGTCTAAGTGAACCAGCAGGCAGGTGGTTTGCTGTTGGAGGCTTTGGTCCCCTGATGATACCATACCCTTACCGAATCCCTCTCTTTCAGTTTGTTTTTATGACTTTCTGTCACCATTGTATTGGAACCTTTAGTTTCCTCTCTGAATGGATGGGTTGAGATGACACAAGTGGAGAACCGGATTATCTTGTTGATACAGTACCTGAGTAGGAAAGCTGGCCTTGTCACTAGGACCCATGTTCAGGGGGGATATTCAATCTTCATCATCTCTATAGGTTTCTGGCTTGAACCGCCTTCAGAAATGGCACTTAAAGAGCATCTGTTCCGTGCTTCCTGGGAAGTGGACTTGTCTTAGGGTGGATTTTTGTTAGATATTAAAAAAGAAATGAAAGAAAGGAAGAAAACTTAAAAAAAAATAAAACCACCAGCCGTTGGCCTGTCTTCCCTTTCCCCAATCCTTAAGAGAATCCTTTTGTCTTGTCTTCTTTTGATAATTCCCACATTAATAACACACCCTGCTGTAGCAAGGATTTGTCTAGTACTCTAACCTGGATGTCTCCTGAGACCTCAATAATTTGTCATTTATATTACAGACAATACCCCACAAAAGTATCGGGTTTTGTAAGAATTTCAGGAGTCTGCTTCCTGCAGGAGTGGTTCCTCGTGGAAGGAAGGAAGAATGATAAACAGGTTCCATCCATTTTTTGAGTCACTGCACGCTTCCCTCCCTGGGGGAGGAAGCATTCAGTGTTCTCTTCCAGTGCTGAAATGCAGGCAGGGTGCAATCCTAAAGGAGTAACGTTTGACAGCACAGGGGGAAATTGTCCATAGCCCTCGGGGTACGTGATGAAGTTATACCAAGGAAATTAGAAACTGGAAGAAGGTGTGAGGTTAGCGTGACTTTAAGTGAACAGCTGTGTTTATCTTGTGCTTACATTGTGCTTGCCTCCCCAGGCTTGGTGTAAGAAACAAAAATAGGCATTAATGCTTCATTCTGTAGCATGCAGCTGGCAGAGTAAATCTTGAAAGGAGCCACTTAAGACTAGCACAAGGAGTTTGCTTCATCCTGGGCTTACAGGAGTCAAGGTCATGAGTTTCCTTCTCGGGAGGACTCCTTGGAGCATCCCCGCCCTGCCCCTGGTACGGATGTGGGTGCCTGGCTGGTGCTCAGTATAAAGATCTCTTGAAGCAGAGGGTGGGTGTGCTGTGTGTGAAGGGGCTGCTCTCGCTTGGGCAGAAGCACTGCCCCTGTCTTCTAATCCCAGCCCCACTTTAGCCCAAGGGAATTCCCTCTTTCACTTGCACCTTGAACTCTGTGTAACCCTGACAGAGAGCACTGCTATGCCAGCTGCCCAAGCCTAGTTCTGCCCAGAGCTGCAGAATGCTTTTGAAAGGTAGAGCGATCAGTTGCTAACTTCTGAAATCTCACTGTTAAGCACTTACAAATACATGTATTCAAATCACTGAAAATAGTCAAGCTTTCTGAGTTGTCACAGGATGGGCAAAAAGAAATTAGGTAAAGTGAGGGCAAAGTGTCAGAGCCTTCCTCCAGAGCAGAGAATCCCGGAATTGTTTGGGTTGGAAAAGCCCAACCATTCCCCTAACCCTGCCATCCCACCACCAAACCCTGGCCCTAAGCACCTCCTCTGCCCAGCTTTTGAATCCCCCCAGGGATGGGGACTCGGCCCCTTCCCTGGGCAGCCCCTTCCAGGGCCTGACAGCCCTTGTGGGGAAAGAATTTTTCCCAATGTCCAACCTAAACCTGCCCTGGCACAACCTGAGGCCGTTTCCCCTCGTCCCATTGCCCGTTCCCTGGGAGCAGAGCCCAATGCCCCCCAGCTCCCCCCTCCTGTCAGGCAGTTGTAGGCAGCGATAAGGTCTCCCCTCAGCCTCCTCTTCTCCAGGCTGAACACCCCCAGCTCCCCCAGACGCTCCCCAGCAGCCTGGGGCTCCACACCCCTCCCCAGTGTCATTGCTCTCCTCTGGACATGTTCCAGCAACGCAATGTCTTTCCTGTAGTGAGGGGTCCAACACTGAACCCAGCGTTTTAGGTGTGAAGTGTAAGACCTGAAATAAAAGGATGTGAGTATAGGTGTGGGGTTTTAAAATTTATTTTATTTAAGCAAGGTAAATCCAAGGTGGGCCAGGCAAAATTCCATTAAAATGTGACTTCTAGAAAAGCAGCCTGAGGCAGACAACTAACAGGGAAGACATAATTATGAAAAAGAGTAAAGGAGGGGTAACCCGTGGTGCTGTTCATCTCGGCGGTTCCGCAGTGAGTAGGCATCTCGATCAATCAGTGCTCACTATGTAGCAGTCGTTAAGAGTGCTGAGGTTATTACAGGTGTAGTGGCTCTGTTTTTTGGGATATGTAGTAACGTCTCATGCACCGATAAGTGAATTCAGGCCCCTGGTGTCTCATATTGTGTTTTTAGGACGGACTGCTCCACGATGGATGGGGGAGATGGTACTGCTGACCTCGTGATTAACAAGAGGTTTGTGTCTGAATCGGAGCTAGAGGAGCGACGGAAGAGAAGGCAAGAGGAATGGGAAAAGGTCCGAAAACCTGAGGATCCAGAAGGTATGGGTTAGAATTTAATAATTATAGGAAGGATATCCGAGAATATTTCACTTGTATGGAAAACAGAAATAAAAAGTAATAGCTTGTATTCTACGAGTTCAAAAGGGTTTTACATAAAGAAACTTAAGAGCTATTGGTGATGCAATGTTTCTAACATACGATCTCATTTTCTGATTTATTTCTCCCTTTCAGAGTGCCCAGAGGAGGCATATGACCCACGTTCGCTGTATGAAAGACTCCAGGAACAGAGAGAAAAGAAGCAGCAGGAGTTTGAGGAGCAATTTAAATTCAGTAAGCCCCAGCAGTTACTATTTTGAACCGAAACCCAGCAAACTGCATATATTGTTTGCATGAGCTGTATGCAGTGTGTGACTGAGGGCCATACCTGTGTTTCTTGGCTGCCTCTCTGAGAGGTAAAGGGAGGCTTTGGAAAAGTATCCTTGACGTCTTGTATTTTTCAAGGGTGGTGGGTGCTGCTGCAGGTAACACCTTGCTCTGGGTACTGAGGCAGCACGGCACACGTGCGAAACTCAGGAATTGCTTGCCGTTATGATGCTGCGTTCCTGTGAAGCGTGGAGTGCTAGGCTTATTTTGCACGATAAATGAAAAAAAGCCCTGATACCAATCCATGGAAATGTGGGAATGTAGCAGGGTTTTGTGACTTTGGAACTCATGCTTTAGTGCAAGACATCCTATCTGAATTGATAAAAAGAAATCCTCTTCTAGCAGCTGCTACCTATCCAAGCTGTAATTAGTTGATGCAAAAGTGATTTGGGGCTCAAGTTTACTATGTGGAAGAAGTAACTGTACAGGAGTTGATTCAAAAAGTAGATCTTTAACTCTGGTAATGAAATGGAAACCTAATTTCTGCTGATGTTTGAATTTCTGGTTGAATAGGAAAATCTTTGCGTGGTATCACCTGTGTGTGTGCTGCTGACTGCCAAGATGATAACGAGAACCAGAAAATTATTAGTCAGCCAGTTTGGGAAAAGGGAGCTACTGGCTCTGTCTAAAGAGCAGTGAGGATGATACCATGGGACTCCATTTTAAGCCGTGTTCCAATCGATTTTGGTGCTTTAGTTGGCAGCCTTACCCTCCAGCTGTTGTGTTCATTAAGCTCCAGTTTCCCTAACTGGATTCTGTCGAGAATTTCGCTTGTATTTGCGATGCAACAAAACCATATTTTACCTTGAACACACTCTTTGAGCTCCCTGCCACTGCAGATGTGATAGAGTGTGCTATTGATTGCCATGATTGCCTTTCCCATTCTGTAGCGCCTGCTTTTAGGGTCATTCCTGTAGCCACATTTCTTTGGGAGAAGGTAAGTGGGGGGAAGTGGCTACCTAGAGATCAGTGTCGGGTGGGCTGTGGAGCACTAGTTTACCTCCTCAGAGTTCAGCCCAGTTTGGCCGCTTGTGACAAGATTTGTCCTCTGATATTCTTGAATTCACCTTAAAATGTTCAGAAGTATTTTTTCCATCCATGGGAATTTTGGAGGAGTAGAAAATGAGTTTAGTGCCCTGTCATTTTGATCAGTCAGAATCAGTGATGGGCCTTGGGAGGAGAAACACCTTAATGCTGGGGAATTGGGTTTGCATAAGCGCGCAAACTTAGTTACTCTAAACCTTTTGTATCAATAAAAAACAGGGTATGGACCAGCAGTTCTTTCTGCCGGGCTATTCAGCGTTGTGAGAATGTCTTCCTTCTCAAAGTGAAATATCTTAGTAGATGTAGCATTTTAAAGGAAAACTGATAACAGTATTCTGTAAAATGCAACTTTTTTTCTTGCTGAACGATTATGGGAAACAAAATAAGGATGAGTGGAAGGTATTCCCCATCTCTTAAGTTTTGCTTGCATTTTTAATGGTGAAAAGTGGAAAGCACGGGCAGCAGCGTTAATACCTTGCAATCTCCAGCTGTACCTACAGGATTCTTTCCAGCTGGAGAGTTTCCAGATCACTTCCATAAACTTTTGATACAAGTCATCTTTGGTGATGTGACTCGGCAGTTCTTGTCCAGGTAGCCACCGGGAAACTGAGTGCTCTCAGTCTGGGTGGGAAAGTCTTCTAGAAGCTGCCTAAATGAATTGTTTCCCTCACCGAATTGTGTTAGATCTGCAGTGTCTTCCCTTTGGTTCAGGCAGGAAACCTGTAAACCAAGTACTGGAGTGAGAGGCGTCCCCGGGAGGGGAGTAACTGAGAGGTGACCCAACCGCTGCTTTTAAGGCAGCCCTTGGGGAACTCCAGATGCCTGCTGACCAGGAGAACAAAACCCACTGCAGACTATGTAGTAGGGAATCTCAATAATGTCGGCCATAAGGATTGCTGCGGCTGCTTCTCTGAGTTTGCAGACCAGGCAGGCAGGGAATTAAATTAATTCATGGCACTGGCTTCAAAAAATGTCCAGCGTTTCGCTACTTCTGCATCTGTCTGCAGGGGCCCTCAGCAGCAGCACTGAATGCTACGAGTTACTTTTTAAAGACTTACGAAGGAGCTCTGCGTTCTTAGCGTTGGAAAGGGTAGCGATCGGCCTTTAAAAAGCAACCTCAAATAATAATAATTGATTTCTAGAGCTTTTCTGTCAAAGAAGGAAGCTTGCCAGTTATCGGTGTGAATGGGTTTCTTAGCTCACCATTCACGTAGGTAGGACTTGATGTGTGGGTGAAGATTAAAAAAATACGGCAACTTCGTGTAAAAGCCTGAAAGTGCTCATACGGAATTAAACTCTGAAGACCAAAGGTGATGTTTGGGCTAAGATTTCTGAGGGTGACTGCAAACAGCAAGACTTCCTAAAGGATATTTTTTCTAACCTTTAGATTTTTTTGGGGTTGGAAAAGCCCTTTGAGATCACCCAGCCCAACTGTTCCCCTAATCCTGCCATCCTACCACTAAACCCTGGCCCTAAGCACCTCGTCTGCCCGGCTTTTAAATACCCCCAGTGATGGGTCTGTCTAAATAATTTGATCGAGAGATGTTGAACACTTGCGGAGCAGAAAATAAAAGACCCTCCAACTGTGCTCACATGTGCTGTCCTTAAAATAGGGTAGCGTGTTTAGAAATCATTTATTTTTATTTGGAAATTAGGAATTGTTGTGCTTCTGCGTTTCTTTTTTAAACAGATGTTAATCTCCGATAATGGTTAGCTTTAAGAAAATGTGCTTCTGATTTTGAGGCAAGGTTTATGGGGAGAAGTAATGTGGGTTTTTCCAGCTATCTCTTGGCTTAAGAACAGATTCTGAGGAGAGAGGCTTAAGCGCAGTGGCTGAAACCAAACCAGCACGTGTCGTTGCTTCATGTGGTTATTGCTTGCTTTGTGTAACCAAACAGCATTTCAGAACTGCAGAACAGCTGCTGGTGTGAAAATGTGGTTGCTCCTCCTTAATTACATCCACTTGTCCAAGAGCATTTCGTGGCTTCCTCAGGGTTGAGTCTTGCTTTTCTCTGTAGCAACAGCATTGTGTTCAGACTGCGTTGGTTTGTTGCATTTTGTGTGCTTGAGTGCGTGAGAGTTCTGGCTAGTTAGCGTCCAGTGTCATTAACCAGGAAGTGGTTTTACTCCTTAATTACAGAATCTGGCCGACAGATCGTGGAGGTTGCTTTGCACCCTTTTCTCGGCGCAGCAGCGTGGCTGCTGGCATGCCCAACTCACCCAGTCACCCAGGACTCTGCTACCCCTTCCCAACGCATTTCTGCAATCGTTCTGCCTTGGCGGTACTAGAAATGTCACAAGCGAGATGCAGATGCATGCCTACGTTTACAGGGCAGTTTGAAACCATCGGAAAATGTTCCAAGAGAGTGGTGAAGTAGTGCAAAATAAATGGCTGCTCCCTGAGGTGGTTTTAGCTTATCAATACGCATTCTTTTCCTTTATCCAGAAAACATGGTAAGAGGCTTAGACGAAGATGAGACGCATTTCCTTGATGAGGTTTCTCGGCAGCAAGAGCTACTGGAAAAGCAACGAAGAGAAGAGGAGCTGAAAGAGCTGAATGAATACAGAATATCCTTTGCGTGCAAGTGGCTGGCGGTCCTGGGGAGGAGGAGAAGAGGCTGGCCTGTAGCTTTAGTCTGTCATTGGTGTTCTTCCCGTAAAACTGCTGTACAGAACATGCGCAGTGGTAGACTTCTGAAGTTTAATGTTTTCCTTGTAGCTTGGATCTCCCATGGTAATGTTTGATATTCCCCACTCCCACATGTCTTTAGTACGTTTCTTCCCTTCTCCCCCTCCCCATTGTTTGGGGTTTTTCCCCCTGTTACTGAGGGCATGAAATACCATAGCTAAAAAGAGAAAGAGAATGTAGAGGCAAAACCAGCTTATTACTTCTAAGGAAATGTTCTTGTTTGTCTTTCTAACCGCATACTGGCTGTTTTTGACATGCCTATTTGAGATAGTATTTGAATTGCGTGCTCTCTTACTCTTCTTGAAGTATTAGTTACTTTCTCCCTTGCTAATAACTGCAGGATGGGAAATCAAGCACATCTCTGCAGATACGCAGACTTTCTTCTGTGAAGTCAGTCCCGTGGAGGCTCCACTCCTTTGGGTAATACAGACTTGCAGGCAGTACTAAGAGCAGGACAATTTGGCTTTGCTGTTAAATGCCTAATTGTCATGAAGACGTGCTAGAAAATAATACAGGATGCTTTTTCTCTCTGATCAGTGCCAATCAAGGGCGGTCGGAGTGATTTGAGGATTTCCGCACCAAGCTAAACATTGGGTTTTCGAGGTTCACTGAATGTGTGCAGAACCAGATGGTTCCTTTGCTTCCTGATGAAAACTGTTCCTCGTAAGTCGTCAGGGAGCAAAGCATAGGTTCTCAAGGCTGCTTTAGTATAAGTGAGTTTGTGGATACAAGGAGGTGGCCCAAAGCAGCCAGCAAATCAAGCTGGACAGTGGCCATTGCTGCGAAGATCTGAGGTGCCTCCTGTTAGTTAACAGTTTACAACTGTGAGGAGCACCCGAATTAGCTCAGTAATGCCTTTAGCAAAACGCAATACCAGTGTGGTTTTTTACTTCAGAAATAGGCTGTAGGTGGTTGATGGGTTTGGAATATTTTCTGGATTTGTCATAGCTAATAACGGGATGTCCGTGGATCTGTTTATTTTTGATGATGGCTGCTTGCAGGCCGGACTGAGGCAGGGATGTGCAGTGTAAAGTGGTGCTGCAGCAGCAGCCGACGGCTCTGTTTAGGGCACATATGGCTGGGGTGAACCATGCCAGCCCAGAGGGAATCTTGTGTTGTCTTGAATTAGCCACATAACACTCTGACCCCAGGATTTACTGAGCAGGGTCTGCTCAAGACGTACAGGCCATCTAACCTCAGTCTGTGCAGTCTTACTAATATCGTCTGGCTCTGTACCTGAGGTCTGGCTGTAAATTAAACTGTAGAACTCATTGCTGATAGGGCAGAGGGAGGAAGAATGGTTTTCAGTCACCTCATCTCACAGGAAACCGAGAAGTCTTGCCCATTCCATTTCCTTTTATTTTTTATTTATTTGTTTAACCCTAATATTTTAAGCAACCTCAGAGCACCTTGTGAAATGACTCATCTGTGTTCTGAAATTTTTGGCGATGTTCTTTTAAAATGCAAGAAGTGGTTTTGCATCTGCGGGTTGTTGCTGATGCTTCATTCCTACAGCGCCAAAAACCAGTGGGTACTGGGTAAACGCACTGGATCTACAGGTACTGCTCAAGTGCTCTTCCTAGCTGGTAAGAGGAATGCCAGCCCAGTGAGTTTGGTTATTTGGTCTTTTTCCTGCTATAATGTCCAATTGAAGCTCCCCAGAGGCATTCATTTCATCGCAAAACCTACGTCGATGTTCAGGTACAGAGGTTTTTTCCTTTCTTTTTTTCTTCATTTTTTAGGTTGAAATCCTCTACCTTAAGGATAAACATGCCGTGGAATATTTTAATGCGCTCTTGAGCATGTGAAATTCATATGCGTGGATCCATAGGAATTTTACTTCCTCCAACATGAACAATGCGGGTTTTTTTGCACCCTACCCTATCCAGAGTCCACTGGTCTGACAGTGGGATTTACAGATATATTTTTTTTTAAGCCATTTTCAAGAAGTGTTCGAGAACGACATCCTCTTGTCTTAAATCCTGTGTAAATGTAGGAGAGGCCCCCTCCAAGAAGCAGGTTTTACTTCAGGACAGCTTTTTTTAAAAGCAGTTGAGATTTAAGGGTGAGAGGTTTGTCTCTAACAGGGTCTTTCTGAGAGGGGACGCTTCTTGGCTAGGCATGGTGATGCATTTGCTAATGGCAACAGCACATGTAAAATCTCTCAAAAATGGGCTGTGCCTCTGGTGGTTGAGGAGCGTTGGGAGGAAGGCACCCGGATGGAATTGGAAAGCCTGTCATTTGGTATCTGTCTAAAAGCAAAGCCTTTGGGTTCCTCAGCCAGGCTTTTGTATTAGAATATGACAAGGCAATGAAATGTAAATGTGGAAGTTGAGCACTGCAGTGTGTGGAACTGGGTGGTGCAGCCTGGAGTTGGGCACAGTGAGCTTTCGGATGGCTTCTAATAGCCACAGGATGGCACTCCTGGGCCATCTGAAGAAAGAAAACTGAACAGGCTGGATCTGGCTGGGAAGACTTGCAGCTGAGGTAGGCAGCAGCCAGGTTCGCTACTGTATCCTTAGGGAAATCAAATAGGGAATGGCATCTGAACACTCTGAATGGTGAAGAGCTTGGAGACATTGAGTGTGTCGCATCAAAGGAAGGTGTAAGAGGTTTTTTTCATTTGTTCAGTGGGGAGAAGAAACTATGACTTCAACTGTGTGGTCCATCAACGAGAAAATTGTTATCCAATATTGGTGGGCGATAACTGGGGCACCTGTGAGAGTCCAGCTTGTGGCTGTGTCGCCCGATCAGCGGAATTGTAGTCGGAGAAGAAACTGGTAGAAAGCTTGATTTTAGGGTTACAAACAAATACCCTTAAGTTAGGGCGATTTGCCTTTGCAATGTGCAGTTTAACAGTTTTGCAGAAGCTTTTACGACTCCACTGGTACCTCATTAACGAATGGGAGCTTTGGTGGAGCTCGCTTCATCAGGTACAGCTGGACATGAACTGTTACTGGGGACAGGCCTAGATCCTGCTGTGGAAGGAGATCTGCTCAGTGTGTACAGAGCCAGCATGCCTTAATACCAGACCAGACCCCTTCTTATCCCACCTGAGAACCTGCTGAAGCTTTTCCACCTCATTATAGGCTTCAGCCACATCCCACCTTGCTAACGCTGCTCTAAGCTACTTAGCTTTTCTGTGCAGTCAGTCTTTTTGGGTGAATCTTGGACTGCCCACACCCTTAATCGGGTCTGTGTCCTCTGATGGGGCCGCTGTGCAAACAGGCGGTGAACAGCCTTGTGGCCCTTCCAAAGAAATGAGCTGGAAATTCAAAGTGATAAATACCAAAACGGAAAATTGAGCATGTTTGCTGTGGTAGGCTGAGGTCTGCCAGGCTCAGCAGAAGGAGTGTGAGTGAGCCCACGTTTTGCTGCTTAGGGTTTTTTTGGTAAGGATTAGGGGTTGAAGCAGCAAATTCGCGTTACAAATGTGTTGATCCCCGTAGAAGGGGGAAGTACTGCACTGCTTTTTTTTTTTTTTTTTTTTTTTTTTTTTTTTTTTTTTTTTTTTTTTTTTTTCCTCTCTTTCTTTTTTTTTTTTTA